TCTTGACCAAATGCCTTCACACTGTGTACTAACAACCATTCCTTTTATGCCATCACTGACACTGACAAAAGGAGGGTCCCTGTCATTGTCTACTACGGCTTTTGCATAGTTTCTGATATAATATCACTATCCACAAGTGTTGTGCTGCTTGCTGTGAGTGAAAGGGATATATGGCATTTTAGGTCTTTTCATAAAAATGTCCTTCTAATTCGTAGGTCCCTGTAGCGCAGGGGATAGCGCGCTGGACTTCTAATCCAGAGGGCGTGGGTTCGAATCCCACCAGGGATGCAGCAACCTTTTTCACACTTCATTTTTGGAAACGGATTTCTTGACCAAATGCCTTCACACTGTGTACTAACAACCATCCCTTTTATGCCATCACTGACACTGACAAAGGAGGGTCCCTGTGTCATTGTCTACTACGGCCTTTGCATAGTTTCTGATATAATATCACTATCCACAAGTGTTGTGTTGCTTGCTATGAGTGAAAGGGATATATGGGATGTTAGATCTTTTCATGAAAATGTCCTGGTAATTCGTAGGTCCCTGTAGCGCAGGGGATAGCGCGCTGGACTTCTAATCCAGAGGCCGTGGGTTCGAATCCCACCAGGGATGCAGCAACCTTTTTCACACTTCATTTTTGGAAACGGATTTCTTGAGCAAATGCCTTCACACTGTGTACTAACAACCATCCCTTTTATGCCATCACTGACACTGTCAAAGGAGGGTCCCTGTCATTGTCTACTACGGCTTTTGCATAGTTTCTGATATAATATCACTATCCACAAGTGTTGTGTTGCTTGCTAAGGGATATATGGGATGTTAGATCTTTTCATAAAAATGTCCTTCTAATTCGTAGGTCCCTGTAGCGCAGGGGATAGCGCGCTGGACTTCTAATCCAGACTCCGTGGGTTCGAATCCCACCAGGGATGCAGCAACCTTTTTCACACTTCATTTTTGGAAACGGATTTCTTGACCAAATGCCTTCACACTGTGTACTAACAACCATCCCTTTTATGCCATCACTGACACTGACAAAGGAGGGTCCCTGTGTCATTGTCTACTACGGCCTTTGCATAGTTTCTGATATAATATCACTATCCACAAGTGTTGTGTTGCTTGCTATGAGTGAAAGGGATATATGGCATGTTAGATCTTTTCATAAAAATGTCCTTCTTATTCGTAGGTCCCTGTAGCGCAGGGGATAGCGCGCTGGACTTAGACCTCCCTTGGTGAGGTGGTGTGAACACGGTGATTTGCAGTGCTCTGATATTTTCAGTAAGTACTTCATCGATTGTGAAGATTCCTGTCTCATCTCTTGCACAAATGGTACATTATGTTTTATGGTTATTCTGAAAAGTTTGTTTATTGAAAAAATAGACTATGAGCCACCAGACTGGGGGGCAAAGGCCACCCCCTAGTCAGGTAAACAAGGAAAATGGCCGACCTCGTGTCTATCAGAAAGAGAACGTTATTCGAGTGCAGTTTGGGAGTCATGTTCGCCCGAAAGCGTTTGACGTATGCAGGCTCTTGAACTTGAATTGGGGGACAACACTGTTTATTGTTGCACACCAAGACACAATTATTATGAAATTACCTTAGCGGAGAATTCGCTCGTAAAATCACTGGGTGATGGGCTAATTGTCAACAATGAGGTGTATGATATCACACCTTTAGTAAATGACAAAGTTGTTGTGTCATTCATGAACTTGCCCAGCTACACAACAGATGGAGAAATAATGGAAGTTCTACATTCGTTTGGAGTATATGAAGTTGACACCATCCGCAGACGAAAAATTCCTGGTACTAACTGGGAAGATGGAACCAGGTACACACAGGTAAAGTTTCCCACAGGAATTCATAGTCTTCCATACAGCATTAAATTTAAAACGCATGGAGGATTTGACTTCTTCAGAGTTCTCCATAATGATCAGGTGAAAGTATGTCATCATTGTCTTTCTGATCAGCATGAGAAAAGGAACTGCCCGAACATTGTGTGCAGAAACTGTGGATCCGCAGGACATGTTCAATACAATTGCCGTGTTCCCAAATGCCACAGGTGTAAAAGTAAACCTAAGGACTGCAACTGCTTTGGCTATGATGATATGTCTGAAGAAAATGATGATAATTGTCAAGGTGGTGATTATGAAAATGAGGATGACATGAGTGACATGGAGGCGGATGCGACACTAGCCAAGTGGCCTATTCTTCAGGAGCTGGAAGAAGATGGCGGAGAAGAAGAAGAGGAAGAAAGGATTGTGACAACCACTGAGCTGAACATTGAAGAATTGGCAGAAGATGTTTCTGTGTCACAGTTGGACAAAGAAACACATGACTTTGTCTTTGACATTTTACTAGAAACAATTGATAGGAGCATACATGTTGGTAAGTGCAGGAGTGATACCAAACAACGTGTATCTCCTTGTGATAACAGTATCATAGATGATGTCACAAGCACACTGTTAAACATGATAAGACTAGTTGAGCATGAAACAAATGACAATTATATACATGTTGATGATCGTGATGTGATGGTAGTTCCCACAGAAGACAATCACAATGTTCTGGCACAGCCTTATAGAGGAGATGGTGCTCCAGGAAGTGTGAGAGGCAAATGGAATGTCTTGAAACCTAGTGAGGATGTTATTAAGGCTCATGTTGGGGAAGGCCTCCTAAAAAGAAGGATGTGATAAAATCCAGAAAGGGAAAAAGATCACGTTAAAACAAATCTTGATGCTTCATATGTATTTATTACTTCTCACCATGTTGAACATATGGTCATGGAATGTAAATGGTTTAAGAGACGTGAGAAAGTTTGAACAAGTATTAGCACGTATCAACACGTCACATGTAGACATAGCATTTCTACAGGAGACGTTCTGGGATGAAAATTTTGTCAATAGCTATAAACATATGTTCCCCGGAAAAATCTTATTTTGCAATTCAACAAGTGTAAATCGCAGGGGTATAGCTATTTTGGTATCGCAAAACTGTCAATACCAAATTAACATGGTAACGAGAGATTCTGAGGGCAGACTATTAAAAGCAGAAGTTGATGTGGATGGTAAAACATATTACTTATTGAATGTATATGCTCCTAATGGCCTCGATGAAAGGTTAACATTTTATAAAGAACTGGAAAAGTGGATAGAACCAAATAATATGATTGTGGGAGGAGATTTTAATGATATACTAAATCCTACGTTGGACAAGGGCATAAACAACAAAACATTTAATCTTAAAAGCAGTGATGCTCTGACTTCTATCATTCAACAGCATAGCATGGTTGACGTTTGGAGACACAAAAATTATGATAAAAAGGAATTCTCCAGAATCCAAAGTGTAAATGGTGTTTTAAAACAATCCAGAATTGATTTTTTTCTTTTGTCTAGACATCTTTTAAACAACACCATAAATTGTTATATTAAATACTGCAAGATAAGTGATCACAACATTGTGTCACTTAAACTTGATTTGAGTGATATCGAAAGAGGTCCTGGAATTTGGATTTTTAATAATGAGCTTTTGGAAGATGGTATATTTTTTTATAAAATTCATAGCATTGTTGAGGAAGCACAAACTTGCCCACTTTTTGAAACTGAACCACTCATCTGGTGGGACAACTTGAAATATCAAATGAAAAAGTTCTCAAAATATTATTCTAGTAAACGAAGTAAGTTGGCAAAGACTGATTATTACAAAACTCAAAATAAACTTCGAAATGAATATCACAAATTAGCTACTATACCTGGTTATGAATCTACACAACTGTGTGATTTAGAAAAGAAAATGGAAGATTATGACAATATTACTTGCAAGGGTGCTATTTTAAGATCAAAAGCACAATTGACTCTTGAGTCAGATCGATGCACTTCATATTTTTTGAATTTGGAAAAATCCAAGCAACAAGCTAACTCGATCAAAGAGCTCATTGCTGAAGATGGAACATTGTTGCGAACGACGGAAGACATTGTAAACGCTGCACAATCTTTCTATGAAAAGTTATACACAGATGAAGCACTTGATTATTATAAGGAACAGGAAGTTGTAAATATGATACACAAATCTATCAATGATGAACAGAAAGAACATTGTGATCTTCCTATTTCTGTAGAACAAATGACAGATGCACTGAAAGGAATGAAACGTAACAAAACTCCAGGTCCTGATGGTCTGACTGTTGAATTTTACCTGAGGTTTTGGGAGATTTTATGTCCTCTTTTTCATCATGTTACTAAGAGTATTTTTGAAGAGAAGGAATTATCTCGTTCTATGAAATCTAGCGTCATTAGTTTGTTCTATAAAAGAAAGGTGATAAAAAGGATATAAAATGTTACAGACCTATTTCACTAATTAATGTTGATTGTAAATTAATATCACGCACATTGTCATTAAGACTAAAGTCTGTATTGTCAGATATTATCTCCCTGAACAAACATGTTGTGTACCTGGGAGAGACATTGCGCACAATTTACATTCTTTGAGAGATATAGTTGATATTGTTGATCATGAAGATGAGGATGCGTTTTGATCAAAATAGATCAAGAGAAAGCTTTTGACAGAGTTTCACACAGGTACATGTTAGATATTTTACAGAAATTCAATTTTGGGAATCATTTTATAACTTGGGTAAAAATTCTATATACAGACATTAAAAGTTCTGTCAAGTGTAATGGACATTTAAGTCCATATTTCAAATTATCACGTGGAGTAAGGCAGGGAGATCCGATGAGCTCGATGTTATTTGTTCTTATATCAGAACCATTAAATTTGTTGATAAAACACAACCCTCTCATTCAAGGTATCAAAATCAAAACATTTCATCTTTAATCTATCAACATGCTGATGACACCACAATCACTGTCTCAAATGTGAGCTCTGCTACTGAATCTTTTCGCACAGTCAACTTATATTGTCAGGCAACGGGTGCCAAAATCAACATTGAAAAATCTGAAATTTTGTTATTGGGCAAAATAGGTTTCGTGATTTTTTAATCCAACTCCCAGTTAAAGTTAAGAGATTGTATAGAAATACTAGGCATTTACTTTGGTACGGATAAAACACTGTGTGAAACACTAAATTGGGAAAAGAAAATACTAAAAATACAAATGCTATTAAATTCTTGGCTTCGAAGACAACTGACTTTACAAGGCAGAGCCATTGTAATAAATGTACTTATGAGCTCTCGCTTGTGGTATATGTTTACTGTAATACCTGTTCCACAGTGGGTTGAAAATAAATTTGCTCAGATGTTTAGGAAGTTTTTGTGGCACAATAAGACTGCCAAAATAGCATTTGATACTTGCATTGGTGTTTGTGTTGATGGAGGTTTAAATCTTCCAAGCTTACGTTTAAAAAAAAATATGCATTGAGGCTAAAATTGTTGAGAGCTTTCGTCAATAGCCAGCTCAGCTGTATTTGGAAACAAACCATGGAATATTTTATGTCTCATCTCCTGACAATGAACTTGGGAGTTCATGCCTTATCACTTGAATATGATAAGTCTTACTTACAGAATATAAGCCCTTTTATGCTGAGCTTTTCGCTGCATGGAATGAAATTAATGAAGGAAAAAAGACCATTACTTCGCAATATAATGGATATAATGAATCAACCACTGTTTAAAAATCCACTGATTACATTTAATGGAAAAACTCTCATGTTTCAATCGTTCATTTCAAGTGGGATTATTTGTATTAAACATATTTGCTTGGAAGTCATTCCCAAATTCATGTCTGAACAAATTATTGAGAAAATAGTCCATGACACCTTACCTGAGATAGACACAAGTACAATACAACAATGTTATAGGATTATTTTATATGCGCTTCCGTCAGAGTGGAAAAGGATCATTTTATCTGTTGTTGGCAAAAACTTCCCTCAAGGGACATTATCTGCACAATTGCTGAACAGGATGTATCTGTTGAAGTATTTACAGCTAAATATTGTTATGAAATTTTCAGGAAAAAATATTTCAAGGAACCAGTAGCTATCTGCTGGTGGGATAACATTGCCTTAGATATTAATTGGAAAGATATTTGGCTAAATGTATGGCAAACAGATAAATCATCAGATTCTGTAGAGTTAGATTTCAAAATTGCTCATAATATTGTCTTTACATATGAAAACTCTCGAAAATTGGACTGTCAAACACAGATGTTTGCCCAGTGTGTCTAAGTGAAACAGAAGACATTTTACATCTCTTCATCTATTGCAAAGAGTTATCTTCCTTGCAAACAATAGTAATTGAAATGTTGACAGATGTGTGCCATGATTCAGGGTTTACCTTTGGACAGCTGTCACTCTGGTTACTGTTCGGATTCCTACCAGAAAAGAAATTATCATGTAAACCATTCATAGATATTGTATTATCAATATATCGTCTGTCTGTATTTAAAAGGAGAGTTATAATGACAAGTCACAACACCATCTCATTTGATGTGAGGGCATTATTCAAGACTATGATAAGGCGCCATTTTAGATATTTGCTGTTTAAATATTCGAAAGTAAATCAATCACACATCTTCATTCAAAATACATTATGACCAACACATACATGGAGTTGAACGGAAATGAGGTTGTTCTAAACGATCCGTTAGATTAAGATGCTTTTCACCGTTAAGTATATATTTCTAAGGAGTAAAACTGTTTGCACTTGAAATGTGTTGTATAGTCATAAATGCATATTGTTATAAAACTGTACAAAACTATTCAATATCTTTCCTGCCTTTAGAAATGAACTGTTAGTCGCTGCCACCTAAACTCTGTGATAACTCTTTTAAATTTTGGGTGGTAGTGTCAGCACTGTCTGCATCTGTAATAATCTCGTCATGTGAATAAATGTTATAAAGAAAAAAAAAAAAAGAAAAAAAAAGCGCGCTGGACTTCTAATCCAGAGGCCGTGGGTTCGAATCCCACCAGGGATGCAGCAACCTTTTTTAACACTTCATTTTTGGAAACGGATTTCTTGAGCAAATGCCTTCACACTGTGTACTAACAACCATCCCTTTTATGCCATCACTGACACTGACAAAGGTGGGTCCCTGTCATTGTCTACTACGGCTTTTGCATAGTTTCTGATATAATATCACTATCCACAAGTGTTGTGCTGCTTGCTGTGAGTGAAAGAGATATATGGCATTTTAGATCTTTTCATGAAAATGTCCTGGTAATTCGTAGGTCCCTGTAGCGCAGGGGATAGCGCGCTGGACTTCTAATCCAGAGGCCGTGGGTTCGAATCCCACCAGGGATGCAACAACCTATTTTACACTTCATTTTTGGAAACGGATTTCTTGACCAAATGCCTTCACACTGTGTACTAACAACCATTCCTTTTATGCCATCACTGACACTGACAAAGGAGGGTCCCTGTCATTGTCTACTACGGCTTTTGCATAGTTTCTGATATAATATCACTATCCACAAGTGTTGTGCTGCTTGCTGTGAGTGAAAGGGATATATGGCATTTTAGGTCTTTTCATAAAAATGTCCTGGTAATTCGTAGGTCCCTGTAGCGCAGGGGATAGCGCGCTGGACTTCTAATCCAGAGGCCGTGGGTTCGAATCCCACCAGGGATGCAGCAACCTTTTTCACACTTCATTTTTGGAAACGGATTTCTTGAGCAAATGCCTTCACACTGTGTACTAACAACCATCCCTTTTATGCCATCACTGACACTGACAAAGGAGGGTCCCTGTGTCATTGTCTACTACGGCCTTTGCATAGTTTCTGATATAATATCACTATCCACAAGTGTTGTGTTGCTTGCTATGAGTGAAAGGGATATATGGGATGTTAGATCTTTTCATGAAAATGTCCTGGTAATTCGTAGGTCCCTGTAGCGCAGGGGATAGCGCGCTGGACTTCTAATCCAGAGGCCGTGGGTTCGAATCCCACCAGGGATGCAGCAACCTTTTTCACACTTCATTTTTGGAAACGGATTTCTTGAGCAAATGCCTTCACACTGTGTACTAACAACCATCCCTTTTATGCCATCACTGACACTGACAAAGGAGGGTCCCTGTGTCATTGTCTACTACGGCCTTTGCATAGTTTCTGATATAATATCACTATCCACAAGTGTTGTGTTGCTTGCTATGAGTGAAAGGGATATATTGGATGTTAGATCTTTTCATGAAAATGTCCTTGTAATTCGTAGGTCCCTGTAGCGCAGGGGATAGCGCGCTGGACTTCTAATCCAGAGGCCGTGGGTTCGAATCCCACCAGGGATGCAGCAACCTTTTTCACACTTCATTTTTGGAAACGGATTTCTTGACCAAATGCCTTCACACTGTGTACTAACAACCATCCCTTTTATGCCATCACTGACACTGACAAAGGAGGGTCCCTGTCATTGTCTACTACGGCCTTTGCATAGCTTCTGATATAATATCACTATCCACAAGTGTTGTGTTGCTTGCTGTGAGTGAAAGGGATATATGGCATTTTAGATCTTTTCATAAAAATGTCCTGGTAATTCGTAGGTCCCTGTAGCGCAGGGGATAGCGCGCTGGACTTCTAATCCAGAGGCCGTGGGTTCGAATCCCACCAGGGATGCAGCAACCTTTTTCACACTTCATTTTTGGAAACGGATTTCTTGACCAAATGCCTTCACACTGTGTACTAACAACCATCCCTTTTATGCCATCACTGACACTGTCAAAGGAGGGTCCCTGTCATTGTCTACTACGGCTTTTGCATAGTTTCTGATATAATATCACTATCCACAAGTGTTGTGTTGCTTGCTAAGGGATATATGGCATGTTAGATCTTTTCATAAAAATGTCCTGGTAATTCGTAGGTCCCTGTAGCGCAGGGGATAGCGCGCTGGACTTCTAATCCAGAGGCCGTGGGTTCGAATCCCACCAGGGATGCAGCAACCTTTTTCACACTTCATTTTTGGAAACGGATTTCTTGACCAAATGCCTTCACACTGTGTACTAACAACCATCCCTTTTATGCCATCACTGACACTGACAAAGGAGGGTCCCTGTGTCATTGTCTACTACGGCCTTTGCATAGTTTCTGATATAATATCACTATCCACAAGTGTTGTGTTGCTTGCTATGAGTGAAAGGGATATATGGCATGTTAGATCTTTTCATAAAAATGTCCTGGTAATTCGTAGGTCCCTGTAGCGCAGGGGATAGCGCGCTGGACTTCTAATCCAGAGGCCGTGGGTTCGAATCCCACCAGGGATGCAGCAACCTTTTTCACACTTCATTTTTGGAAACGGATTTCTTGACCAAATGCCTTCACACTGTGTACTAACAACCATCCCTTTTATGCCATCACTGACACTGACAAAGGAGGGTCCCTGTCATTGTCTACTACGGCTTTTGCATAGTTTCTGATATAATATCACTATCCACAAGTGTTGTGCTGCTTGCTGTGAGTGAAAGGGATATATGGCATTTTAGATCTTTTCATAAAAATGTCCTGGTAATTCGTAGGTCCCTGTAGCGCAGGGGATAGCGCGCTGGACTTCTAATCCAGAGGCCGTGGGTTCGAATCCCACCAGGGATGCAGCAACCTTTTCACACTTCATTTTGGAAACGGATTTCTTGACCAAATGCCTTCACACTGTGTACTAACAACCATCCCTTTTATGCCATCACTGACACTGACAAAGGAGGGTCCCTGTGTCATTGTCTACTACGGCTTTTGCATAGTTTCTGATATAATATCACTATCCACAAGTGTTGTGTTGCTTGCTGTGAGTGAAAGGGATATATGGCATGTTAGATCTTTTCATAAAAATGTCCTGGTAATTCGTAGGTCCCTGTAGCGCAGGGGATAGCGCGCTGGACTTCTAATCCAGAGGCCGTGGGTTCGAATCCCACCAGGGATGCAGCAACCTTTTCACACTTCATTTTTGGAAACGGATTTCTTGACCAAATGCCTTTCACACTGTGTACTAACAACCATCCCTTTTATGCCATCACTGACACTGACAAAGGAGGGTCCCTGTCATTGTCTACTACGGCTTTTGCATAGTTTCTGATATAATATCACTATCCACAAGTGTTGTGCTGCTTGCTGTGAGTGAAAGGGATATATGGCATTTTAGATCTTTTCATAAAAATGTCCTGGTAATTCGTAGGTCCCTGTAGCGCAGGGGATAGCGCGCTGGACTTCTAATCCAGAGGCCGTGGGTTCGAATCCCACCAGGGATGCAGCAACCTTTTTCACACTTCATTTTTGGAAACGGATTTCTTGACCAAATGCCTTCACACTGTGTACTAACAACCATCCCTTTTATGCCATCACTGACACTGACAAAGGAGGGTCCCTGTCATTGTCTACTACGGCCTTTGCATAGTTTCTGATATAATATCACTATCCACAAGTGTTGTGTTGCTTGCTGTGAGTGAAAGGGATATATGGCATGTTAGATCTTTTCATAAAAATGTCCTGGTAATTCGTAGGTCCCTGTAGCGCAGGGGATAGCGCGCTGGACTTCTAATCCAGAGGCCGTGGGTTCGAATCCCACCAGGGATGCAGCAACCTTTTCACACTTCATTTTGGAAACGGATTTCTTGACCAAATGCCTTCACACTGTGTACTAACAACCATCCCTTTTATGCCATCACTGACACTGACAAAGGAGGGTCCCTGTCATTGTCTACTACGGCTTTTGCATAGTTTCTGATATAATATCACTATCCACAAGTGTTGTGCTGCTTGCTGTGAGTGAAAGGGATATATGGCATTTTAGATCTTTTCATAAAATGTCCTGCTAATTCGTAGGTCCCTGTAGCGCAGGGGATAGCGCGCTGGACTTCTAATCCAGAGGCCGTGGGTTCGAATCCCACCAGGGATGCAGCAACCTTTTTCACACTTCATTTTTGGAAACGGATTTCTTGACCAAATGCCTTCACACTGTGTACTAACAACCATCCCTTTTATGCCATCACTGACACTGACAAAGGAGGGTCCCTGTCATTGTCTACTACGGCTTTTGCATAGTTTCTGATATAATATCACTATCCACAAGTGTTGTGTTGCTTGCTGTGAGTGAAAGGGATATATGGCATGTTAGATCTTTTCATAAAAATGTCCTGGTAATTCGTAGGTCCCTGTAGCGCAGGGGATAGCGCGCTGGACTTCTAATCCAGAGGCCGTGGGTTCGAATCCCACCAGGGATGCAGCAACCTTTTCACACTTCATTTTGGAAACGGATTTCTTGACCAAATGCCTTCACACTGTGTACTAACAACCATCCCTTTTATGCCATCACTGACACTGACAAAGGAGGGTCCCTGTCATTGTCTACTACGGCTTTTGCATAGTTTCTGATATAATATCACTATCCACAAGTGTTGTGCTGCTTGCTGTGAGTGAAAGGGATATATGGCATTTTAGATCTTTTCATAAAATGTCCTGGTAATTCGTAGGTCCCTGTAGCGCAGGGGATAGCGCGCTGGACTTCTAATCCAGAGGCCGTGGGTTCGAATCCCACCAGGGATGCAGCAACCTTTTCACACTTCATTTTGGAAACGGATTTCTTGACCAAATGCCTTCACACTGTGTACTAACAACCATCCCTTTTATGCCATCACTGACACTGACAAAGGAGGGTCCCTGTGTCATTGTCTACTACGGCTTTGCATAGTTTCTGATATAATATCACTATCCACAAGTGTTGTGTTGCTTGCTGTGAGTGAAAGGGATATATGGCATGTTAGATCTTTTCATAAAATGTAGCGCAGGGGATAGCGCGCTGGACTTCTAATCCAGAGGCCGTGGGTTCGAATCCCACCAGGGATGCAGCAACCTTTTTCACACTTCATTTTTGGAAACGGATTTCTTGACCAAATGCCTTCACACTGTGTACTAACAACCATCCCTTTTATGCCATCACTGACACTGACAAAGGAGGGTCCCTGTCATTGTCTACTACGGCTTTTGCATAGTTTCTGATATAATATCACTATCCACAAGTGTTGTGCTGCTTGCTGTGAGTGAAAGGGATATATGGCATTTTAGATCTTTTCATAAAAATGTCCTGCTAATTCGTAGGTCCCTGTAGCGCAGGGGATAGCGCGCTGGACTTCTAATCCAGAGGCCGTGGGTTCGAATCCCACCAGGGATGCAGCAACCTTTTCACACTTCATTTTGGAAACGGATTTCTTGACCAAATGCCTTCACACTGTGTACTAACAACCATCCCTTTTATGCCATCACTGACACTGACAAAGGAGGGTCCCTGTCATTGTCTACTACGGCTTTTGCATAGTTTCTGATATAATATCACTATCCACAAGTGTTGTGTTGCTTGCTGTGAGTGAAAGGGATATATGGCATGTTAGATCTTTTCATAAAAATGTCCTGGTAATTCGTAGGTCCCTGTAGCGCAGGGGATAGCGCGCTGGACTTCTAATCCAGAGGCCGTGGGTTCGAATCCCACCAGGGATGCAGCAACCTTTTCACACTTCATTTTGGAAACGGATTTCTTGACCAAATGCCTTCACACTGTGTACTAACAACCATCCCTTTTATGCCATCACTGACACTGACAAAGGAGGGTCCCTGTCATTGTCTACTACGGCTTTTGCATAGTTTCTGATATAATATCACTATCCACAAGTGTTGTGCTGCTTGCTGTGAGTGAAAGGGATATATGGCATTTTAGATCTTTTCATAAAAATGTCCTGGTAATTCGTAGGTCCCTGTAGCGCAGGGGATAGCGCGCTGGACTTCTAATCCAGAGGCCGTGGGTTCGAATCCCACCAGGGATGCAGCAACCTTTTTCACACTTCATTTTTGGAAACGGATTTCTTGACCAAATGCCTTCACACTGTGTACTAACAACCATCCCTTTTATGCCATCACTGACACTGACAAAGGAGGGTCCCTGTGTCATTGTCTACTACGGCTTTTGCATAGTTTCTGATATAATATCACTATCCACAAGTGTTGTGTTGCTTGCTGTGAGTGAAAGGGATATATGGCATGTTAGATCTTTTCATAAAAATGTCCTGGTAATTCGTAGGTCCCTGTAGCGCAGGGGATAGCGCGCTGGACTTCTAATCCAGAGGCCGTGGGTTCGAATCCCACCAGGGATGCAGCAACCTTTTTCACACTTCATTTTTGGAAACGGATTTCTTGACCAAATGCCTTCACACTGTGTACTAACAACCATCCCTTTTATGCCATCACTGACACTGACAAAGGAGGGTCCCTGTCATTGTCTACTACGGCTTTTGCATAGTTTCTGATATAATATCACTATCCACAAGTGTTGTGCTGCTTGCTGTGAGTGAAAGGGATATATGGCATTTTAGATCTTTTCATAAAAATGTCCTGCTAATTCGTAGGTCCCTGTAGCGCAGGGGATAGCGCGCTGGACTTCTAATCCAGAGGCCGTGGGTTCGAATCCCACCAGGGATGCAGCAACCTTTTTCACACTTCATTTTTGGAAACGGATTTCTTGACCAAATGCCTTCACACTGTGTACTAACAACCATCCCTTTTATGCCATCACTGACACTGACAAAGGAGGGTCCCTGTCATTGTCTACTACGGCTTTTGCATAGTTTCTGATATAATATCACTATCCACAAGTGTTGTGCTGCTTGCTGTGAGTGAAAGGGATATATGGCATGTTAGATCTTTTCATAAAAATGTCCTGCTAATTCGTAGGTCCCTGTAGCGCAGGGGATAGCGCGCTGGACTTCTAATCCAGAGGCCGTGGGTTCGAATCCCACCAGGGATGCAGCAACCTTTTTCACACTTCATTTTTGGAAACGGATTTCTTGACCAAATGCCTTCACACTGTGTACTAACAACCATCCCTTTTATGCCATCACTGACACTGACAAAGGAGGGTCCCTGTGTCATTGTCTACTACGGCTTTGCATAGTTTCTGATATAATATCACTATCCACAAGTGTTGTGCTGCTTGCTGTGAGTGAAAGGGATATATGGCATGTTAGATCTTTTCATAAAAATGTCCTGGTAATTCGTAGGTCCCTGTAGCGCAGGGGATAGCGCGCTGGACTTCTAATCCAGAGGCCGTGGGTTCGAATCCCACCAGGGATGCAGCAACCTTTTCACACTTCATTTTGGAAACGGATTTCTTGACCAAATGCCTTCACACTGTGTACTAACAACCATCCCTTTTATGCCATCACTGACACTGACAAAGGAGGGTCCCTGTCATTGTCTACTACGGCTTTGCATAGTTTCTGATATAATATCACTATCCACAAGTGTTGTGCTGCTTGCTGTGAGTGAAAGGGATATATGGCATTTTAGATCTTTTCATAAAATGTCCTGGTAATTCGTAGGTCCCTGTAGCGCAGGGGATAGCGCGCTGGACTTCTAATCCAGAGGCCGTGGGTTCGAATCCCACCAGGGATGCAGCAACCTTTTCACACTTCATTTTGGAAACGGATTTCTTGACCAAATGCCTTCACACTGTGTACTAACAACCATCCCTTTTATGCCATCACTGACACTGACAAAGGAGGGTCCCTGTCATTGTCTACTACGGCCTTTGCATAGTTTCTGATATAATATCACTATCCACAAGTGTTGTGTTGCTTGCTGTGAGTGAAAGGGATATATGGCATGTTAGATCTTTTCATAAAAATGTCCTGGTAATTCGTAGGTCCCTGTAGCGCAGGGGATAGCGCGCTGGACTTCTAATCCAGATTTCTTGCCGTGGCTTCACTGAATCCCACCAGGGATGCAGCAACCTTTTCACACTATATTTTCATAGGAAACGGATTTCTTGACAAAATGCCTATCACATGTGACTTTTAAAACCAGAAATTTATGTTATCACTGGCACAAACATAGGAGGGTCGATGATGTTTTTGTCTAACTACGGATGGGAAAATCAAGTTGAAAAAATAGTGATTGATATAGCAAAAATATCGTGATATCCACTGTTGGTACTAGGCAAAACGGATAAAACAACGTGTGAAACATTAAATTGCTAAAAGAAAATACAAAAAATGCAAACTATTATTAAATTCTTGGCTTCGCTGACAGCTCACTTTACAAGGCAGAGCCATTGTAATAAATATACTTATGAGCTCTCGATTGTGGTATATGTTTACTGTAATACCTGTTCCACAGTGGGTTGAAAATAAATTTGCTCAGATGTTTAGGAATTTGTTGTGGCGCAATAAGACTGCCAAAATAGCATTTGATACTTGCATTGGTGTTTGTGTAGATGGAGGTTTAAATTTACCAATCTTACGTTTTAAAAAATATGCATTGAGGCTAAAATTGCTGAGAGCTTTCGGTAATAGTCATCTCAACTGTATTTGGAAACAAACCATGGAATATTTTATGTCTCATCTTTTGACAATGAACTTGGGAATTCATGCCTTATCTCTTGAATATAATTAATCTTATTTACAGAATATAAGCCCTTTTATGCTGGGCTTTTCGCTGCATGGAACGAAATTAATGAAGGAAAAATACCATTACTTCGGAATATAATGGACACTATGATTCAACCACTGTTTAAAAATCCACTGATTACATTTAATGGAAAAACTCTCATTTTTCAATCGTTCATTTCGAGTGGGATTATTTGTATTAAACATATTTGTTTGGAAGTCATTCCCAAATTCATGTCTGAACATATTATTGTGAAAATTGTCCATGATACCTTACCTGAGATAGACACAAGTTCAATACAACAATGTTATAGGATTATTTTATATGCGCTTCCGTCAGAGTGGGAAAAGATCATTTTATCTGTTGTTAGCAAAAAAACTTCCTTCAAGGGACATAATCTGCACAATTGCTGAACAGGATGTATCTGTTGAAGTATATACCGACTAAATATTGTTATGAAATTTTCAGGAAAATATATTTCAAGGAACCAGTAACTATCGGCAGGTGGGATAACATTGCCTTTGATATTAATTGGGAAGATATTTGGCTAAATGTATGGCAAACAGATAAATCATCAGATTCTGTGGAGCTAGATTTCAAAATTGCTCATAATATTGTCTTTACATATGAGAAACTCTCTAAAATTGGACTGTCCAATACAGATGTTTGCCCAGTGTGTCTAAGTGAAACAGAAGACATTTTACATCTGTTCATCTATTGCAAAGAGTTATCTTCCTTGCAAACACTAGTAATTGAAATGTTGACAGACGTGTGTCATGATTCAGGGTTTACCTTTGGACAGGACCCGTGAAGATCCGGGGTAGAATAGGTCTTCAGCAACCCATGCTTGCCACAAAAGGCGACTATGCTTCTCGTAAGAGGTGACTAACGGGATCGGGTGGTTAGGCTCGCTGACTTGCTTGACACATATCATCGGTTCCCAATTGCGCAGATCGATGCTCATGCTGTTGATCAGTGGATTGTCTGGTCAAAGTCAAAGTCAAAGATATTTATTGTACTTAAGGCCTCCGGCCCATATACAAGGAATACAAGTATATATACAGCACATGTTACAGACATTTCACAAAGAAATTACAGTTCAGATAAGATATTGCTTCTAAGGGAAACAGCATGTTTTACATAAAGCGCAAGATTACGTATTACATTTTCATTTTTGGAGGATAGAATGGAAACAAAGGCAGATGAAGGATATTTTAACAGGTAATTATTTGGGATATATTTTTTTTCTTAAATCAGCATAATGTGGGCATACAAAAGCGAAGTGAATTTCATCTTCTATAGCCGAGTTACATAATGGACATATCCTTAAACGTCTCTCTATTGAAAATCGTCTGCCCTTATTTACTGATAAGTCTAACAAGCCCAATCGAAAATTGACAAGTGTGCGTCTGATATTTCTAGATGTCAATACAGATAGATATAGTTCTGGTTGAATTAAGCTCTTATGTGATCTATACAACTGGTCTATACAACTGGTATCTTGAACTATTGTCTAGACAGGAATGCCATTCTTGATTATTGCCAGACTCGATTATTTCCAGACCGCCACCATATAGCGGGAATATTGCTGAGTGCAGCGTAAAACTAAACTTACTCACTCACCTTTGGACAGCTGTCACACACTGACAAAGGAGGGTCCCTGTTATTTTGTACTACGGCCTTTGCATAGTTTCTGATATAACATCACTGCATATGGCATGTTAGATCTTTTCATAAGAATGTCCTGCTAATTCGTAGGTCTGATATAATATCAAAGTACTAGTTTGGTGATAAAATATTTGACATAGAAACAAAAGTTGAATATTCTACAGTTTGACTTCACAAAGATATAGGTTTGATGGTGACGTTAGTTTTCATGCACATTTGATGATGATCTAGAACTTGTACTTGCATTGTATTTTAGCACCCGTCTATCTATCCTGATATTAGGTAGTTACCTTGTAATATGTAGAAGTTTCTGCAAGCTCGTTGTATCATCAGCAAGGAATATACGGGAACATTGTTCCCATGATTACGTTCATGAACAGGGTACACCATAGATATAGAACGAAAAGAGACATTTAGATATGACACGGTCTTGACCAACATGAAATACTTCAGACTTAAAGTCAACATGGCTAAGTGAGTGAGTGAATGGGTGGATGGGTGGTTTGAGTGGTTCAGTGAGTAGTTGGGAGAGTGAGTGAGTGAGGTTTTTCGTCGCTTTTATCAATATTTCAGTAACGTCGCGGCGCGGGAACAACGGAAATGGGTTTCACACATTATACCCATGTGGGGAATCGAACCTGGGTCTTCAGCGTGACGAGCGAACGCTTTAACCACTAGGCTACCACAGGGTCAACCTCCCCGCCCCTTATCGTGTATTCAAAACAGAACTTGTCCTTGATGAATATTTGACATATATCCTTTATCCATGGCTCTTAAATACCTCTTGTTTAGAACTTCCTGCAGTCGTTTACCTATAGAAGTAGGTAGGTGGCACAAAATTCCACTTGAAGTAAGAATGCGTAACCTCTTCGACACATGTGATTTTGGCGATGAATCATGTTACATTTTTTTCTCTGCCCTTTCTCTAAACATCATCGGAAAATATATATCCCAAACCATTATGTTAAAAACACCCAATTTGTTAAAATTTAACGAATTCTTTAACTGTAAACAAATATGTGTTTAAAAGACTTTGTATATTCTGTGATACCATCATGAAAACTGTAAATCTTCCATGTAAACCATCCCGCCATCCTATGTACTCTTATCGGTATATTTGTACTTTTTATACCGAGTATCGCGGTCTGAGCGTAATAAATGTTCTGTACTTTTCTGTCGATTTTATTAAGACGAATGGTTCACACTTATCCGTACAAACAATGGATAATACCCTTGAGCCAAGTATCTATGTTTAGATCAAATATAGTGACTGCTTATAAATCAGAAGAGAGGTCTCATTGACATGCATGGTGTGAGGTTATGGTTATCCAATCAAAGCGTATGTAATCTTTCTTATCGGAAACCGGTATTTCCGCCGTGTGTTGCCATCTGCGACCTGGAAACAAGCAGTGAGAGCACAGCGCTGCAAAAGGCTTTCCATGGTGGTTTCTAAACCACGTCTTCGCGAACTCGCGTTTATCAAGATTAAGAGTTCATCATGAAATTTTATCAGGTAAGAAAACAAATCGTGAACCATTCTTTTGATATTTATGTTTTTGAACAGTCCATCGAGACTACTATGCTCGTTTTACGAATATTTCAAAGAGCGTCATACGACTCGTGCTTGGAAGTTGTTCGATCAACTTCTTTGTGTGGCATTTAGAAGTTGGTGTGATGAACAAGTGCTTGATAACTCAAGTGTGATCTTAAAATGGATCAAATCACTGACCACTCCCAATATATTTCTGCATAATGTATTTACAATAAGCAGCGCCCTCTGAATATTAATTACTTATCCAAACCTTTACACATTTTAAATGCCTCATTAATACCTCATTGTCTCATAGATATCAAATCCTAACTTAAAACCACTTTTAAATATTATGTTATTTGTTATCCATACACTTATAAATGTTATCCCCACTCAGCCTCTACTAGAATAGGGGCGATGAGGTAGCCTAGTGGTTAAAGCATCACGCCGAAGACCCGGGTTCGATTCCCCACATGGGTACAATGTAAAGCCTATTTCTGGTGTCCCCCGCGGTGATATTGCTGGAATATTGCAAAAGTCGGCGCAAAACCATACTAGCTCACTCTACTAGAATAATGTTATTTAGTGCTGTTATGATAAGCGTAATACCGGTTACGCAACACTGTTTAATTTATCAAACAATTGAAAGATAAGTAAAAAGAATATAACATGCATAATATTTATTACAACATTTAACAAGTTGCACGATACCACATGCTATATTTGGGATTACACTCAGTAAAGTACAGAATGATACGAGTTCTTTTGTTGGGTTGAGTTCCTGGCGATTAGGTGCCTGACTCGTTGCCCTTCATGACACCGCCATTAAATGAGTGAGTTTACAAAGCGTCGTATAAATTTACTAGGGCTGCGCTATATAACCGGTTTAACGGTATTTACAGGTTCAGACATGAAAACGATACATATTGCGATACGCTGATCGAAAACCGGAATTTTAACTTGCATTCTGAAAACTTCATAACACTCGGAAATCTTCGAGTATTTCCTTGTTTCATTTGTGCCAAATACTATTTATATTTTATTTTATCATGATTAAAAGTTGTTATTAAAGCTTAATCAAGCATAGTGATTTTGTTGGATTTTGCTATATAAATCAAGCATTAACTCGATTATAAGTAGTTTTTTGTTTAAAAATAATTCATGCAATATATTGCAATACATATCGCAATATACGCTTTCGCATCGCAATATATCGCAATATGAAAATACCCACCCCTAAAATTTACACTGCAGCCATGTAGTAACACAGTTATAAACAAACACAGATATATAATATGAATTTGACGAAAATTGTGTTTGTCAATAAGTGAATAACACCCCTCGTTATAATTACTGTGCCATTTCGTCATAAGTTACTTCCAAATAAATTAATGACATTTATCCTGATTGGAGTATTTTGATCCAAGATAACTTCACCATTAGTTCCAGGATCAGGTCAAATTTAAGGTGAGTGATTTGATCCTGCCTCACCGGACTCACCAATATACCATCATTTTCGTAAGTAAGAAAATGTGGGTATGTAGGTGAGTGAGTGAGGTTTTACGCCACTTTTAATAATATTCCTGCAATATCACAGTGAAATACACCAAAAATGGTATTCACGCTTTGTACCCATGTGTGTATCGAACCCTGGTTAAACCACTTGCCCATCCCACCGCTCCACCATTATAAGAGTGAGTGAGTGAGTTTAGCTTTACGCCGCACTCAACAATATTCCAGCTGTATGGCGGCAGTCTGTAAATAATCGAGTCTGGACCACACAACCCACTGATCAACAGCATGAGCATCGATCTACGCAATTGAGACACGATGACATGTGTCAAGCAAGTCAGCGAACCTGACAACTCGATCCCGTTAGTCGCCTCTTACGACAAGCATGGGTTACTGAAGGTCAATTCTAACCCGGACCTTCACGGGTCACCATTAGAAGAATCGACGATGACAAAATCCCTCTGCTGAAAATACAGGGAGACTACTATTGATCCTGCAATTAATTTCCGTGTAGGTTCTTGTCGCGATTTGTTTTCCGTAAACAGGATGCAGTCTGTGAGCAAACCGGGAAAGTGGTTTTTGTTATGAACAATAGGTGGGAAGATTCGTTGGTCCAGATCATGTCCGGAGAACATTAAAACGTTCTGGCCAGGATGATACGCTTGTAAATTGTATTTGTACACACACAAGGATGTCAGGAACAATGCCCACATCTGCCATTGTTTTCTACAGTTTGATGAACGTTGA